TTGGGTATTATTTTATATGGGGGGAGGCAGAGAACAGGGGGGAGAGAGTTTATTATTTTATATGTGGGGGGCAGAGAACGGTGGGGTATTATTTTATATGTGGGGGGCAGAGAACAGGGTATTTATTTTATATGTGGGGATGTGGAGGGCCGCAATGTTTACAATGCTTTATCTTAATATTGTTGTTGTTAATATTTATTTTTGTAACTTTATTCTGCCTTTAACATTTAAAAGTGTAATTTCATAACATAAATTAAGAGGGTGGGTTTAGGGGCGCAGTTAAGGCCAAGGCAGGGTTGGGGTTAGGTGGGGCAACTGGTGGCGAGTAACTCTTAAGGCCTGGCTAGTAGCTCAGTACTTGAAATTTTGAGCCCTGCTCTAGGTGACCTTGTTCTTATCTTGCTAACACTGAGCTTTCTTTAAGTGCTTTAGGAACCAGTAAATCAACTTTGTCTTAAAGAAAAATACCTTATTCTACTATGCCATCCTGGTTTCAAGAATTGCCTACTCTTGTAGTCTGTGGCATTATTAATACAGAACACCATGTGGGGGAATTGATCAAAACCGGAACAGAATCTGGAGCCGATGGCCAGAGTAACCAATCAGCTTCTCTCTACAATTTAGCTTTGAAAAATAAAGATAGAAGCATGACTGGTTGCCATAGAAAAAATACATTTTTAGCAGTTTTCCATTTTGTACATTTATTCGAACTACTGTGTCTAAAAAACAACAACAATATTCTTATAAAATTGCTATCTTTAGATCTGCATTCAGGCAGTATAGTACTTAAATGTGTGTACCATTTGCTCTCTATGAACTTTAAAAGTTCTGTGATGTTGTGAAAGATAAAAAGGAAGCCATACATCAATATCAATGTTAATAACACATAACATGTTTACCTGTCATGTTTAATCCGTGATAGCAAAGGTTCCAGCCAGCCTACTGTACACTCACAATGTGCATCTAGAAAAGTGATGACTTGTCCTTTGGAAGCAGCAGCACCTTTAAGTCTGGCTCTAATCAGGCCTGAACGTTGCTCCATGCGAATTACATACACAGGTACTTTCAGCTTTCTGACATATATTTCTAGTGGTCTTTTCAAAAAATCTGGAACAAGGAAAATGATTTGTGTTCACAGTAAACACAGCACAATATACAATGTTTAAAGCAAGTATAGTTAAAAAAAAATTACAGAACAATGCAGCAATAAAAATGTACAACATTTTTAAAGTTATTAAACAGGCATTACGTTGCACCAAAGTAACATTAAATAAACATATATAGTATACATGTGAAAATAAACAATTAAAAAAAAATAATAAAACTAATAGGAATGCATTTTATTAACATGTGAACAAAAAATATCTTCTCGAATGTGACAGGTCTCAGGTTTTGCAATTACCCAAGTGGTGACCATGCTTTTACCAAATGTCAATAAATCAGAATGCAGAATGGTATGCTGGATGATGATTTTGCCACGTATGGAAAAAAAAGCTAGTCTGGAGAAATGGTTTTGTGTTAATAAGAAAATAAAGGATGACCATTGCATTATACAGTGGATATAAAAGTCTACACACCCTTGTAAAAATGCCAGTTTTTTGGCAGAACAAGATAAAATCACAAGATTTCAGGTTGTTGTTAATTAAATTGCACAGATTATTAAAAGGTGTCAAACATTCTGAAGTGATTTATCTTGGTCTGCTTTTTTTACATTCCAAAAAACCTGGCAATTTTACAGGGGGTGGTAGAATTGTATATCCACTTGATATGACACATCAAGGAACTTGGAAAATTACAGGACATACAAAGACAATCCTCAGATGGTCACAGGATTTTCTAATCTGCAATATTTTGTGCTGTATTGACTTGTTGTTACATTTATATAGGCCATCTAATTGAAGAATGCTTAATAGACGTTGGAACTGTGAAATTAGGGGAAAAAAAGTGTTTTGTTTAGTCCAATATTGTTGGATTACTATTCAATCTGCTATTTGATTAACAATAGACAGTATGCCTTTTTTGTGCTCCGATACCGGAACTTCGTCAGAGGAAGATTTTCTCTGATTTCAGTTTGTTAATTGAATTGCACAGGTTATTAAAAGGTGGAAAACATGCTAAAGTGATTCATCTTGGTCTGCTTTTCGGTCAGTTTTTTACATTCCAAAAAACCTGGCATTTTTGCAGGGGTGTGTAGACTTGTATATCCAGTGTATGACACATGAAGGAACTTGGAAAATCTTCAGAGGAAGATTTCCTCTCACCGGCTGTGTGTGGGGAAACATGTAGCCGGCTTCCCGGGCAATCAGGAATACAGGCTGCGAGCAATGACCTGCCTCCCGGTTTCCTGTTTGGCTGGAAAGCTGGCTTCCCAGCCAATCAGCATGGAGCCAGTTTCCCAGGCCAATCAGGGAGGTGGGTCACCACTCACCGCCTCGCTTCCTGACTGGAAGATTTTCCAAGTTCCTTCATGTGTCATACACTGCATATACAAGTCTACACACCTCTGCAAAAATGCCAGTTTTTTTGGAATGTAAAAAACAGACCGAAAAGCAGACCAAGAGATATCTATATCTATATCCATATCCATATCCACATACACATACACATACACATACACACACACATACATAGGGCTCGAAAAATCCACTCGTCTGCGACGAGCAGACTGTGGAGCCCAACGAGCAGCTTCCCGGCCGGCTGTTGTAATTACACGGCCGGCCGGGATCTTTACAGTCAAGCGATCGAGCGTCTCGAGAGACGCTCGATCGCTTGTATCAGAAGCTGTCACTGCCGTTGCCGGTCCCGAGATCCGCTGT